GCCAGGTCCCGCGCCTTTACGTAGCCCCGGCCGCAGTCGGCGCAGCGGCAGGGCCGCTCCCCGGTGTGCACCCGCTGGTGGGCGGCCAGCTTGGCGGCCGTGGCGAACCCCCGGGGGCAGGACGGGCAGGCGAAGGGCCGCTCGCCCGTGTGCACCCGCCGATGCTTGGCCAGGTGCGAAGGGTAGTGGAAGCCCTTGCCACAATCAGGGCAGCTGTGGCGCGGCGCAGCCTCGTGCACCCTCCGGTGGTCGGTCAACCGGCTAGCGTTGACGTAGCCGCGCCCGCACTCGGGGCAGCGGTGCGGCCTCTCGCCCGTGTGGAGCCGGCGGTGATCGGCCAGGCTACTGGAGTAGCCAAATGCCCTTCCGCACACCGGGCACAGGTAGGGCCTCTCGGTAGTGTGCACCCTCTGGTGCTTGACCAGGGCGTACGATTGCTTGAAGGCCCGGCCGCAGACCTGGCAGGGGAAGGGCCTCTCGCCGGCCGGCCTGCACCGGTGCCGCGCCAGCCCCCCAGGGCTCCGGCAGTCCTTGCCGCAGCCCGGGCAGGCCGTGGCCAGGCCCCCGGCCGCGTGGAGCAGGCGGTGGCGCCGGAGGTGGCACAGCTGATTGAAGCTGCGCCCGCATATCGGGCACTGGTAGGGCCGCTCGCCTGTGTGTGTCCGACGGTGTGTTTCCAGCAACGACGGTGAGCCGAAGGACTTGGGGCACAGCGGGCAGCGGTGAGGGAGGGAGGCCTTGGCCGGTTGGCTCTGCAGAGTGCCCTCTGCCTCCGTTCCCTCCTCCTTCTTTTCCCCCTCTTCCTCCTTCACCTTCTCTTCCTCCGGGTCTTCACCGAGGATCCTGGCAGAGATTAAATTAACCGGATGGCGGGGTGGGGGGGAGAGAGAGAGAGAGAGAGAGAGACATATTACTGTGCCACCACTACCCGCTCCCCACTTCCCGCCCCCCGCAACCAAAGTCCTGGGACGCCCCACCAAACATGAACGGGAAAAAAAAAATGCTGGCGCACAGCAAGATCCCACGGGACGCAACCGTCCTCTCAACCCGCAGCCATCAGGACCCGTGCAAGGGCGTCAGATTTTCAGAGGGCGGCGTTGGCAGAGGCCCGCGATCGGCCGGCCCGTCCCCGTGGGAGCTGCCGCGTTCCCGGACCTCCGAGCTACGGCCGCTACGGGGAAACTCGAGGACGAAAGAAACGCGGCTCCCGGAGAGAGAGAGCGAGGGGCTGCCTTTGCGCCAGCGGCTTCTGGGGAGGATCGGCTCGCCAACTGAAAACAGAGAGAGTCGGGCTCAAGCGCACCGCCCACCCCCCCGCTGTTTGCAAAATAAACATTGGGGGAGGAGCGCGTGGGTAAGTTTGATGGGATAGATCATTCCAGCGATGAGCAGAGGCTAGATAAGCTCCTGTTCTTTTCTTTGGGAAGGCAAGCGCGGAGGAACTGACGGAGGAGTGTAAAAGTATGAGGGGCATGGACAGGGTGGCAGAGCGAGTTTTAACTTAGATAAACGCGAGG